GCGCATAGCTACGGGGAGTTTTCTCAGTAACACTCTTCTCTGTGGTCTGAAGGCTTTCGCGGCTCCTCTTACCTTGGGTAGCCGCTACTCGTGTCAACGTGCTCTCACCCGCCACTTCTTGGATTCTAGGCGTATCTTCGAGAGCGTCGGCTAGTCTCCTGGAGCTTCTGGGGCCGTCGGTCTCTTCCTCGACCCATTCGTACCCATGTTCCACCACTTGAGTTCGACCTCCGTACCCTTCGAGGATACAGAACGCCTTGTTACCCGGGTTAGGCACCGGCACGGTCGTTGTTGCCCCATACGCCACCTCGCTGCTAGGTCCCATAGGACTCAATGGCCTTTCCGAGACCTGTCGGAACCCTGGGGTCGCCGACGAGCCACTGCCTCGTCTGAGCGACCCGCGGCGAGAGGTCACCTCTAATGGGAACGCGGAGGAGACCTCCTGCCTCCATTTCCCTGCCCGTTTCCCTTGTTGCAATCCGGGCAGTACCTCCTAGTGAAGCCCAGCTTGCCACAGGACGAGCACTTGATTGGTTAGGAGAAATCTATTTTTCTCCGCTGACCCTCTCGTCGCTGGCCAGGAAACCCGGGGGGGTGGGGGGGGTATTCCTCCCCTTTTATTGCGGCCGACCCCTCGGCCGCTTGGGAGAGTTAGCCTTCCTCTCCTTAAAGTACCGGTCCATCTCGCGTCGCAGGGTCGCTACCTGTGACGACAGATCTTCATTACGGTCTGTCGCCTGCGTCGCGAAGATCGAAAACCGGTCTTCGGGATTCCTGGCCTGGCTCTTCACCGGTGACTCGGCTTGCAGCTGCTCTGTACCCCGATGTTTGTTGGACATGGCCGCTTTTTGGGCTCCTGCCCTGGGCGGTGGTGCCTTCGCTGACACACCCATGTGCTCAGGGTATAATGTAGACGTGGGCTCCAGCCTGATCCTCGGGCGCTCATCGTCCCGCATAGCGGTCTCGATTTCGGTTGCCCGGGCGTGGAATTCGTCCACATTGGAGAACGCGTTTCTCCGCAGCTGCATACGGATGGCGGGCAGTAGATTTGCATAAAGCAAATCTAGTTGTCGCTGCTCAGGCAACGGCGGGCGTAGTTGGGCTAACATGAAGAGGAGGTGGCAGGCATATTCTCTTACCAACTCTCCCTTTTCTTGATACCGAGCTTGGGCATCTTGCAGTAGTCTCTGTTGCTGCAATTCGCTTGACCCAAACCAACGGCGAGCGCCAGCTACAAAGTCGGCATAGTTCCTCCACTTGAGCTTATTGAGCTCGTACCATGTCCTCGCAACGCCTTCGAGGAGCTCCGATATGGAGCACAAAACTTCGCCGTCGGTTAGCCCAGAGCTCGCTCGTAGATCCTCTAGCCTTGACAGGAAGGTGTCCATGCACTCCGAAGCCGTACCCGAATATCGCAGCTTCCATCCTCGGACTATTCTACCCGTATCCCGAGTCGTATGGAACCCTGACGCCGCGTTGGTATCGTACCAGGCTGATCCGTTCGGGTTCGCCTGTCCTTCACCAAATTTGGCGTCGATCGGTCCTCTCCGCGGCGGCTGCTCCGTCCGCAGAGGCGCCTACCTTTGGGGAGCCTCTCGAGGCTCACCAGGGGTCGGTTTCGTGGGCTCCGGGGTACTTCCTGGTACCCTCGGGTCCTAGTGGCACGTGTACGTGGACTGAAAGTCCACGGTTCTCCTGGGTCGCTCCTGTGTTACGTCCCGAGACGTAACTATTTCTTCATTTTGATTTCATCAGCAATCAATTAAAAAACGAAATAATGTATAAACGACGAACGGCATTTTTACAAAATACAAACTCAGCGAAATTAAAAGATGAGTAGTCCGAAAATTTGGGGCGCCCGACATTTTGATTTTTTGATTACTCAACACATTAATATGGGCCAAAGAGTCAATATAAAAACAGAAGACTCGACTTTTCGGCAGTTGATTCGCGACGCGCGACTACTCAATAACATTAAAATTTGTTACAGTTCTTACGAGCTGATTCGCGACGCGCGACAGCCGAATAACGTATAATTCACCTATTGTTATTTTTACGAAATCATTTCTGTCTTTAAATAAATAAATAATTACTTAAATCGAGTGTTCGTGCATCATTACCGACCGACCTCATATATACTTCATCGAGATAGAGCTAAGCAGCCAATTTAACTCCAAATAATAACCCAGGTAAGTTCCTGTCACTATAATAATTACTAATAAATGAATGATCATACATATTCTAAAACTACACGTCACGGCTACGTAGTCGCGACATAACACCTGTACGGCACTTTGTCGATTTGTGGGGTCCGTGCTCCTTAATTGCTGGACCTCCACCTGTAGGGCGGTCACCTGGTCGCTCCACCGCGCGCATACTTGATCGTGCCTCTCCAGCATCTCAAGTATGCGGTTGATCCCGACACGGTTGCGCTCGATTTCTTCTTTCAACCACTCGATCACGCATCGTTCTTCCTTGACTTCTTGAGGGTGCAGCTCTTCGTTCTCGAAACGACGAGGTCTTCGCCTATCCGGCGATCCGGTGGAACCCTCACGTCCACTACTAACCCCTTCTGGGGGCCCACTGGCTACGCCGGTCTCAGACTCCTCGACGGGCTCTCGCTCCCCAATATCACTCCGACTATCCTTATCGAGGTTGTCGAAGACCGAGGGAGTCCGCGTCAGGTTCGCTTCCACCGTCTCATCGCTGTATAACAGCATGTGTGGGTGGGCGACGAGGTCCTCGGCATCAGCTGCCTCGAGCTCTTGGAGTCTGATCTCGAGCCATCTCTCTCGTCTTCTTCTTTTCCTACGTTGTGCCGCATCCCTGTCCAACGCAGTTCCTTGGAAGTCTTGGTCGATGTACTCGCCCAATAGCCAATATGCCAGCCGGACCGCTTGCATCAGCTTGGGACCATCTGTACGCAACTCCAGCTGCGTCAGGTACCTGCCAAGCTGTGTAGAAGGCAGTTCCGATGCCCATCGGGTTATCGCATCGGCGGTATCTGCCATACCGCCTACACACGGGCGTAGGTGACGGTTGAGGTTACTTTACCTATTCGACCACTACCGCCTCCTATCGCCCAAGGCGTGAGCGGGGTGTTGCAACTTTTACTGGCAACTACTTTAATACGCCTTAAATTACAAGGCAGCAACCCATGAGGCTCGTGGGTGCACGCAGGTGCCGCTTAAACAAAGGAAGTAAGAACTTCCCCTCGCAATTACCTGCCTATAGGTGGAGACTAACTGTTTGCTAGCTCCACCGGGTTAGTTAAACTAACTCCGCACGCACCCAAATTGCGTGCTCTGCACTTATTGTCGCTTTGTGACTAACACCCACCTGAAATTATTCTAATGTGTGGATAATAACTCAAAAAAAAAAAAAAAACAAATTTGTCACCTTTTTTTTCTTTAAAGCGACACAGGACGTCTCTTCGACCCCTGGTGTTAGTATGCTCTCGGCTTACAAAAGCAGTCGCTATTAGGTCGGAGAGACGTCTTTTCCCCCTTGCAGAGCACGTGCCGAACGAGCCACGTGTTCTTTACCCGCTCACACCTTAACACGCATGCGCGCAAACGTCTCTCTCTCCCGTGCGTCACTCACTCTTTACGTGCAAACCAAATCCCCTTGTGTGAGTCCTAAAAACTGTTGGGCGCCGTGTAACAGGCTACCGTTTAGTCGAAAATCCCTGGCAAATGTAATTATCGCTACGGCCAAACGGTGCTTTGTTAGCTGTGTGCTTCGAGCACACTAACTCACCTTGCTTCGGTGTACGCATGCGCCGAACCCTCTCAGCGATCCAGCTTGGATGTGCGAACTCTCCGTAAGAGGCGCTGATGCGCTTGCTTACCAACGCTCCGTCGGCCACTGCGGACAACTCGGTTGACGAACAGCTCCTTCTATAGCATTCGCGATCTGTGTTGGACCACCGGCGCGTTCGAATCAAAATGTAAACATAAACACCGACACCGGACAAGGTGAGACGAAATAATAAGATCGTCTCTTATTAATATTTAACCACTTTATTGGAAGAGATTAGTCCTGTACAAAGGACGATTTGCCGAGAGTCGGACGCACGCTGTATCAACACAATACTTTGAATGAGAGAGAGAGAGTTGATTTCGCGGACTAGTCGCACGCACGCTACCTAAAAAACTCACCGCGCATGCTGCGCGGGATCGCACGCGAATCGAATTACGGAGTGCAGCGCACTTATCGCTGATCTGACGAGGATACGGTGGCCAACCGTATCCGCTTACGCTAGAAACGAGTTGCCTCTGCAACCGCCTCTCGTTGCTGATGTTACGCTGCGCAGTGGATGCTATTGAGGTTGTGGTTGCTGCTGCCGATGCTGCACACTTTGCACAGTGTGCGCGCCCGTCTCATCACTCACAACTTATCTATTTAATCTCCCTGTAGGTCACTCGGCACGGCTGTATAACGTTGTTACTTCGTAGGTAAAAACCACGATCTCGCCAGACTAACGAACACAGTCATACTGACTCGCTAGCTCTCCCCTCCCAGTCATTGCCCCTAACGCGCCCCCTCTCTCTCTTTCTAACCTAAGCCGATCACGGCTATTACACTTAGCCACGCTCGACAGTCCACGCGAGGCCTAACGATTTTCGGCAATCGTTGCAAGTTACATATGCGTTGTATAGGAATCGCACAGACCAGTCACATAAATTTTTGAGTATTTTTAAATAAACTATTGAATATTAGGAGTTTTAATTAAATGAGCAAATTAAATCGGTTAAGGAACAAATTTTTAGAATTTGAGGAAGTTAAAAATATTGTATAGTTAGAAGTCTAACGTAGTAAACTGCTTGTTGTTAATTTATTATAAAAAAATTATAGATGAGCAATAATATTTAAGGATATAGTCAAATTGAGCAATCAAAAGTGTATGGGTTTGTATATTTTTACTTTAATTCACATTAATTATGCAGGTAGAAGAGGTTGAGCTTATACATTGTTGTTTGACTCCTGTATCAATTGGAAATACGGTATTTAGAAAGAAGAGAAAAAAATTAATAATTACTGTTTTAATTTTTATAATCTACTTTCTGCTTTGAAATAAAATTTACGATCTCAGATGTAAAGCAATTAAATATTGGAAAATGTATATTTGCAGAGCGTTCGTTTCTCGTAAATATTTAAATCTAAATCTTAGAAATGTTTGTATAAATTATTCCAAATTGAAACCGAAGGTATTCGTTTTTTTGTAATGATTTTTGTATTTTTTTCTTTCTTGGTAAAAAAGTCAATTTTCGTAAAATCTTACGATTTTGAAAATATATATTTTTAACATATCTGTAAGTAAACTACTGAGTAAATTTTAATGTAAGCGTCTTTGAGTAATAGATCTCTTAAGGATCTTGCTATTATTATTTACTCATAAAATTAATTGAGTGGATTTATTTTATATGTTAAAATTATGTTACTTTTAAAATTATTATAGAGTAATAGTTATTTACTTTATGAAATAACTATGTACTCTAAAAATGTTGATAATATAAACAAATAAACAGAAAGTTTACTAAAAAGTTGTATACATTAAACTATAGAGTACATAGTTTAATATAAATAGTTTTAAGTTAATAGATAAAACGTAGAAAAAGAAGAATATTATATTGTTTTAAATTATAAATTCAATATACCTAAATGTTACTTTAGAAAATAATAACAAATTTTTTTTTAATTTTTTAATTATCTGCCATAAGAGGTATTTACTTTACTCTTTTATAAATTGAATTTTTTAAACTCTGGTAGAAAAATTTTAATAAAAATTTGAAAAAAATATGTTGAAATACTATGATTTCTACATTTTCTAATAACTTAAAATATAATGGTTAACTTAATAATTCAAAATGAAAATTTAATATAGACATGATAAAATGTAAATATTATTTAACCATTTTCTTGAATTTAGATCACCTCTTCATTAGATATTTAAGTCTTGAATCACCTTTACAATAATTCATGAGGTGAGATCATGGAAATTGTCTGTTGGTTTTTAATTTGTGTATATTAAAACATTGAGTAAGTAAAATCTTGTGAATGGGCAAATTGATGTAATATATAGTATAGAAAAATAATATAAATTATATTGTACCAAATCAAGTAACAATTTGAGAATATTAGAACATCTATAAAAATACATTCAGTTTCATTCAACCTGATCAATAATTCATATTTGTTGAAATTTATCTAATTTATCCAAATTTTAATACAGAGCAGTGAAATAAATTTTATAATTCACATTGAACTAAATTTATCAAAATCCATCTTGAATTAAAATCCAACTTGCTAATAAATCAGTTTAACATTACTTTTTTCATATTTTTATAAATAAGGTAAACATTGAGAAAGAAATTTACAGTAAACAATTTTAATATATAGTTTTGCAAATACAATATGAAATAAATGTTTATCAAGTGTTATTTTAGCTAATAGTTGTATGAGACTTGATTATCATCTCAAGTTCTATTAAATAAAAGTATAAAAACTTTTATTTAAAATATAAAAAAGCTAATGACAATTACTAATGGTGCATTAGTTTTAAATTGCTTTATATCCAAAAGTAGAATGAATATATAATCTCTGTTGTAGTAAACATGTTAGATTTGTGCATACATTTATTTATTTATGTACTTATTTGTTTATTTATTAGAGTAAAATATAAAAATTACATGCTTTATATATATATATAAATTGTAATCCAATAGATTAAATTAATTTGCTATTCTCTGGTTTGGACTAAAATTAGAAACTTAAAACTAAGATAAAAATTATAAAATTTGTTTAGCTTTGCCTGTACATTAATACTCTGCACTTTTATATTAAGCAAATAATTAATTCTTATACTGTAATAATTTTTTTCACCAGAATCTGATTATTATTTATTTGGTTGTAGTATAATACTCCATGGTTGCTTTTCTATTTTTGCAGAAATCATCCTTTTTATGCAGTTAAGATTTGTCAAAAAAATAAGTTCAACTGCACATGTTACTCTATGGTGTGGAAAAATTTGTTAGTGTTGTAAAATTTAGTTATATTTGCAAGAAGAGATAAAGACTATATCATCAACAACTATTAGATCTTTGTATTTTGGTTGCGATTTTAATGAGCACACAGAGTTTTTTTAAATTTCTTTTTCTTATGTGCATCCACCATAATAGAGTAGTGCTTTATTATTTCCAAAATAGTTGATGTCCCTATTGGGTAATAAAACACTATAAATATAGATAGCCAACATGGGTGACATTTGTAGAAGTTTTTACATGTATGTTTACTTAGGCTTCCGATTTTTTAATTATTTAAGAAAGTTTTATGTAACTGTGTCTCATAAAATTAGTCAACAAATATATAAGTATATTTAATAGTGTATTTACAAATTTCAAATGAATGAAAGTGTGAACCATAAGATTTTGTAGGAAGGTACCCCAACCCGAACTCATTGATTTTGATAATTTTTGTGTATGCTTTAGTACATTAAAAAAGAACAGATTCGTATTTTTTTTATTGACTGAAAAATATTTAAGGCGAAATCCATCCTCAAAGTTCACTCCTAAAATTAGTTTTTTTCTAATAAATTCAAATAACTAATCAATATATTTTAGTAAAACCAAGTTGGTAAGAATCCTTATAAAAAGTCTTAATTCATTCGTTTTTGTACCAATGTTTTGATAAAGTGCTGTACACTTATTAATATAAACTTATAAAATTTAATACAATTTAGAAGGAACGGTTTTCGAACATTTTTTATTTCTTAAAATCTGAACCAGTAATAGTAGCCAGGTATGATAGAAAGTAATGATAATCATAAAACAAGGACATTTAACTTCCACTTTGAGTTTATTTCTGAATCTTACACTGTAAGAATATCATAACTGAAATTTCACGAGAAAGTACCTGCCGCATATTATAATAATGTATTTGAAATCAATTTCATGCATAAATTGAAAACTAATTTAAATAGTATGAATGTTTATATATTTATAATCTCCCGCCTCCCTTCACCGAGCTCCTACACCTTTCAAGACAGGTAAACTTCTGCAGGCGAGTAGGGCATGATAATCATACAATATTTTTTATTATATTAAAACTTGGTCTTCAATTTTCAAAAGTTTTGCATGCTACACTGGTTTTCTTGAACAATATTATTCCAGCCTTTTTTGTTGAATATAATGCTGTAATCAAAAGAACAATTAATATTCTAGCTACTTGTTTATGTTTTTTGTAAAAAATAAATTTCATACTTGAATAACAATACTTAATATTATTATTATTATTATTATTATTATTATTATTATTATTACTATTATTACTATTATTACTATTACTTTTTTTACAAGGAGTTGCGGAATCCTTTTTGCGGATTCTCTTTAGTCTTGTTAATTAGTCAGTATGTGGACTCTTAAAAAGAACAGGCCTACTCACTAAATCGCCACCTCCTTGATGTCCTTCCCCTAGCCAGGGACTATGTTGATATTATTTCTGACTGGGGGTTTGTCTGTGCTCGTCCGTTTGTGTCGTTCTACCTTATTTGGTTACGTTGCGTCACTCCGTCTGCTCAGTCATCTGTCAAGCAGTCGTCCGTGTTTTTACGTCTCACAAGGGAAGGCAGGGAGGTTCCGTCACCGATTTTCTTTAAACTTTGCATACGATTCATTAAATTCAGTATCAAAAAATATTAGACACGTATTTTTTTTTAGCGGCCCATACGGTAATTTAGGTGGTAAAAACAGGGTTGCCAATTATAATTATCTACATACGCTTGAAGTGCATAAGTTGGCGAGACGCTAAATTCAAATTATCATATCTCGGTGAAAGAAAAAGATATCTGAACGATTGAAAATTCATTTTGAAGGGAAAGACTCATACTTTAAGATATATTAATTACTTTGACTTTAATAATTTTAATGAAGCTATGATATCGAAGATGACTGTACATAATATTGATTTGAAAAGATGGGCTTTACGAAAAAAAGCTGAAATAGCCATGCCTTTGTTCAAAGCATCGAATTGGTGGATCTGGCAATTTAAAAAAAAACATAATATAGTATCTCGAAAAATCACTAAATTTGTTACAACAGATTCATTGAAAAATATTGATGAAATTGAAAATCAACGTGAAACTTTTAGAGTTGAAATTAAACAATTGCTTACAAGATACGGTGCAAGCAATGTGTATAATTCTGAACACAGCAGATTTAATTTGGAGATTTACGGTGGTAGAACATTAAATTATAAAGGACTGAAAGAAAGTCAAAGCATAGCACAATCACTGTCTTCCTTAACACACAGCTACACTATTCAACCTGTTATATCAGCAGAGGGTAATTTTCTTTCACCTTTATTTTTAGTATTGAAAGAAGCAAGTGGAGACTTTGGGCCTCGAGTTAGACAGACATTATTTACACCAGAAAATATATTAATACGAGCTTCTACATCTGGAAAGCTTTCTAAGCAACTGCTTCAGACGTGGATGCAAGAAGTATTTTTAAAAAGTACTGGGAATTCATCGGTCTTACTTTTAGACTCTTGGAGTGGGCAATGTAATAATACCGTACAAGAAGTTGTACCGGAACAAGTAAGTTTAATGGTAATGACAATACCGCCTGGCACTACATGTAAAATTTAGTCTTTGGATGTTTATGGTTTTCGATTCTGGAAGAATTTTGTAAGAAAGCTATCTGATTTTATTATTTTAATGCAATACAATATCAATTTACACGAAAGAAATTTTATCATAAAAATGCAATCCCTCGTACATAATCTGTTATCTTCTCCGAGGTATTATAATACTTTTAAGTATGCATGGTTCAAAAGTGGTTATATTGATAGACCTCCAAAATTTGATAATCCTGTTGAATTTTGCTTTGCCATATAAGAAGAACCTGTATGTACCTACGAAGATAACATTGCAATTATAATTTGTAGTTGGTGTAAAAAAAAGTTATGCTTCAATCATTTTTTTACAGAATATCATTATTGTAAGAATTATATACTATAATTATATAAAATAATTCTTAAAAATATCAAACATATGTACGGGATAAATAGAAAGTATTTTATATATGTTAATATGTATATGAATGTAATTATTAAAAAAATAAATAAATAATATTTATAATAAACAAAATATATAATAAAATGTTTTTTTATTGCCACTTTGGGACTCAAAATACAAATTTTTTCGGTAAAA